CCCCATGGCACCTTTTAATACAGTGGTTCGCAACCTGTGGGTCGTGACCTCTTTGGGGATCAAACAACCCTTTCACAGGGGTTGCCCGATTCATAACAGTAGCAAAATGACAGTTATGAAGTAGCAACGAAAATAATTTTATGGTTGCGGGGGTCACCACAACGTGAGGGCGTATTAAAGGGTAGCGGCTTTAGGAAGGTTGAGAACCACTGTTTTAATAGAAGGCACCTTCATCAGACAAAGACCAGTGTATTGCTGAGAGGACTTGAAGTTCAAAGACACCCACGCATCACAGAGACATGTTTAAGCATATTTTGTTTGGAATAACCTGTGCATCTGTGAACTGGAACCCTAGTAGCCATACTTTCTGACTTCTTTGTGTACATGCCAACCTCTGAGACATTAATTCTCGCAGTAACCCTGGGACATGCATGGTTTGGGCGGTGTTAAAACGCCAAAGAACCTCAGACAATTCCAATTGTATGTCATGTGTTTAACCACTGCTCTTAGATAATTTAAACACAAATTTTTGAGCTCATTCTTCAAATGCACTAAGTGCTTACAGCCATGTTAGTGCTATTAGTTATTTTTATCATGGTAAATATATATAACGGGACGTTTGCCATTCCAGTCGTGGCCATGCAATGGCATTCACTACTTGGCTCATGTGCAGCCATCACTACTGTTTGCTTCCCATTTTCCCTCCCTGTAGAGGTCATTTGGACCCCTGGCTTCTTCAGAGTTCTCTGTGGGTGAGCCAGCCTGGCAGAGTCCAGTGGTTTTGGGGGCTGAGACAGAATGTGAGTGGCAGCCTGTACTTCAGGAAAAGGCTGTGGGTGGCGTGGAGGGAGAAGGCGATTCTTTTCTGGGGTGAGTGAGGTGCATCTACCCAAACACCTGGGTCTTGGGTGTTTGCGTGCTGCCACTAGGCTGCGCTGCTGCTTTCCCTGTGAGCTTTGCTTCTTGAGAAGCTGCCTCCTCTGGAAACCCCTTGGAGGGGAAATTACAACCTGGGCTAGTCATCTCTGCTGAGACCAAGCTATTAATTATTCCACATGATTGGTGCTTGCTGCTCCTACAATGCACATATTGTGCTTCTCTGTTTAAGGAAGTTGTTTTGCCAGCTTTTTATTGCTTTACCTGGGTTCTCGGCGGTTCCTTTTTTTAAATTACCATGGGTAGGAGTTCAAAGGGAGTCACAGATAAGCGATGGCAGCACAGGTCCAACTAAAGACTCTTCAGAGTTTGGGAGATTGTAGCGTGGCCAAATAGTTTAGAAGAGAATGATGTGATGAGGGCTGGTAGAGGAAAAAGCGTAAAACTGGAAATGGTAGAAGATTCCAAACAAGCAGCCATTTGAAATAATTTGTGGTTCTCCCTCTTGAGATATGCCCCTCCTCGCTTAAAAGAACTTTTCCATGTACCTTTCTGACCAGTTTTCAATTTCAATATGCAATAGTGTTGGTGGTCGAGTCCCAAGCTCCAACCCCTCACTGAAACCCTAGAATCAGCTGTCTTCTCCCCCTGTTTCCAGACTGCTCCTGGGGGCACTTTTCCAGGATAAGGGAGTAGGTGCGGTCTGTAAAAATGAGTTTGTGGCTAAGATTGGGGATGTTCACCTCAGTGCCCTCGGGACAGTCTTAGCTCATTGGCACAAGAAAGGCTCTTTTTTTTAATCTCTATTCAGGAAAGCTCTTTGACTTGGCAGAACATTCAGCCCATGAGGACAACACACACACACACACACACACACACAC